TAGTCAAAAGAATTAAGTTTCTTGAAAAAGAAGACCGATGAATGCACTATCACAGATTGGGTAATAGTGTCGCGTATCAACGTTGACTCATCTTGGATCCATTAAAGTGCTTCCGACTGGCACGTGCCTCGGAGCGATAACTATTGTACAACAGTGAAGTCTGTTGCGTTCTTGCCCTCTCCATTCCTAATTCCTTCTTTCATTCAAGACAAAGAATCCTGAGGCTTGATTTGTAATACAATTTTCATTCATTTGTAATGCAATATATTATTTTTTCATACATAATTATTTAATGACAATTTTCATATAATATTTAATCAATTATTATTTTTAATTTACTTATTAATTTACTTATTATTATTATTATTAATGTGAATATTATCTTTATATAATGAATTCGTTAACATTATGTTATTATATAATTCTGATTTAAAAATATATACTCGCTATAAACTTTTCATGATACGATCGAATTGTCTTTTTTTTTTTTAAATTATTCTGTAGCTTTATAAAAACTCAAGTTTATAAGTGTCTTTCCATGGCGAGTCATATGATCTGGGACTCACTACATCAAAAATGGCGACGCTCAGTATCCATAATATATGTACTTATATTGTGAGAAGTAACCTATCTCATTTAAATTAAACAATCGATATCCTTGAGTGGTCAAATTGTTAAGATTTTGCAGATCGATATAAATTTCCGAATTTACTGAACAGAATAAAAATTAATTCTTTTACAGGATTAAAGTAGATGCAAAATTTGGTAGTGTTGCAATAGACTTTATACTAAAATATGACTTTATATGAAATTTTATTATATGACTTTTATTATATGAAATTTTATTATATGACTTTATATGAAAAAAAAAAAATAAAAAATTTATATTTTTTTTAAATTGGAGGACTGTCACGTAAATATTTGCTTAATACAAAAGTTTTATAGCTCATATAGACGAAACAACAGTGCAGCATTAAGTGTACAAACAATACTGAGTTTATGAAAAGATTAAAAACTTCAAAAGAAAGATTTATATCGATCTGCAATGATACGAACGCTGAGCGAGAACTCGAAATAGTAAACAAAGCAATAATTGTGTCTAGCAGTAGGTGTTTGATCTTGCAAGAGATTAGAGACAACGCGTTGCAATGTTAAAGTCACTAAATTTATAAAGGGCGTATTCCAGTATACATTGCCAATACTGAAAAATTGTTCCGCTATTACAATACTACGCAGTGCGCTGCGACAGCGTATAGTTCCCTCAATGTGACATCATCTCTATGTCTCTCTTCCACCGAGGATTAGAATTGGATCAGAGTGCAAAAACTGACCAATTACAGTTAAGCATTCCCCTCTTATTTCACTGTAAGGGTACCATTACATGAAGCGCAAAAATTTGACAACATCGAAGAAAATTAATAATTCTTATTATTAATAATTCTTATTTTTCAATATGACATATTTTTATTTTATATGTTTTATATGTTTTTATATATTTTATACGTTTATATGTACTATTTTTATGTGTACGTAACCTAATGTCAGCAATTCTTCAAATAATTTTGATATCATTCTGAAATAATTGAAGAATCACTTTTCACGATCAGTTGTTTGTATTCCAACGACTAAATTATCATTTGCGCCTTGAAGATGCCTTATTCTTTAAACATTGATTGTATTCAGAATTTTCGTTTTCTTGTATATTTCTGCTGTTGCAGAACGTTATAAATAAAATTTTCGCACTCTTAAATACCAAAATAGCACGCCAACTTGGCACATTTCTTGCCTTTCGCAATAATGTTAATAATAATATTACTTCTTTCCATTATAGATTTCGAAAAAAGATTTCTGAATATTCGTTTCAATTTTTAGATTCAATCAACTCAGCTGAACATACTATTCCGTTCCGTAAAAATTTTCTCTACCTGTCCCATATAGCCGGAACGCAATAGAATTTTCGTAATAAAATATATTTCACTCTTATAATTCAGTATTTTTGAGTATTCAAAGTAATGTTATAGATAAGATAATTGCACAAATTATGCATATTACTGCTTTAGTCGCATTAAAATAACGGAATAACGATTAAATTAGCTTGAGACTGAGGCGATATTTCATCAATTTCGTTTTGTTTCGATTACACGGACGGGAAGAGAAATTTCTGAACGAACGGAATTGTACTGAACTCAATTTTCTAGTAAGAAATCCGTTCACTGAATGAAAACGGACGAAATGTCTTAAGCTAATTTAATCGCTATTTCGTTATTTTAATGCGACTAAAGCAGTAATATATTTATTTTATTGCAATTAAAGAAGTATGTATACTGTGCAATTAACTTATAACATTATTTTTGAATACTCAAATATATTATAAGAGTGAGATATATTTTGTTACCAAAATTCCATTCAGGCAACATGGGACGGATAGAGAAAATTTTTTCGGAATGGAATTTCGATATTTAAGAGTGGGCGAAAATTTTATTTATAACGTTTTATTGCAACAACAAAAATATACAGGAAAATAAAAATTCTGGATATAGTCAATGTTTGCACGAAGAATGAGGCATCTCCAAGGCGCAAGTTAGTAAATTTCTCATTTTGTCGTTCAAATATAAATCAGTGGCCGATTATTGATTTGTGATGGAATTTTGTGATTATATGTACAGTGTTTCCTTCTTTATAGTAATTCTCAGTTGCCGAATGGTTAATCGACAGTGATAATAGCGAGCCAATAGATTCGTTTATAAAAATCAATTAAGTGCGTAGATAAATCCGTGAACGTATGGATACGCGATACAATTAATAAAAGAATTAAAACTTCTAATTATTAATTGTTGTATGCAATTTCTTTCTTGGATTTAATTCTCAATCGCTAAATAATTAATCGATAGCGATTAATAATAACGAACTGATAAATTTCTTTATAAATCGATCAAGTATGCATGAAACGTTATAAATGATACAATTAATGTGAAAGATTAGAAAAATTCGTGTAAATGTGACCGCAATACAATTGATGTAGAAAAAACAAAAATTTATTATTATTTGGTGTGAATTTATGAGAATCTCGGAATTCACGGTGACAATATCATCCTGCTTTTTTTCTCGATTGCGGTGAAGACTTTTACAAGATAGGAGACATGGGAGAGAGAAAGAGGGGAGATACGTGTACGTGCGCGTATCATTGTGTCACGCATTTCACGTAGCAAGCAGCTGATCGAAATTGTTAGACGGTGCGTTGCACCGCCCCTGCTTATCTTCCGTACGCGTTCTGTAATTTGCTCACTATTTTCATTTATAATTCAAAAACTAAACTATGTATAGAATTTTGGCAAAGAAAAAATTGTCTTTTAGAATTATGTCAGGAATACATCATTTTAAGGACAAAAGTTTGTTCTTGGACATTCTATATATATATATATATATACTAAATAAGTATTTATGCCATTAGTCGTCTTCAGTTATAACTTTTCTAAAGGAGGATTTAACAATCGGTTTACACATTCAGTTAGTCCATTAGCCCAAAGGACTGCTATCGCTACTTGTTTATGTTTTACTTTACGCACTTGTAGAAACTCACTAGAAGTAAACGCAGTACCGGTCTGAAACTATTTCATTCGGATTTCCAAACATGTCAAACAATGGAGTCAAATTTTTTATTACTTCTTGAGTAGAAATAGTCTTCACAATGAATAGCGAAGCAAAACGAGTACATGCATCGATCAAGACTAGAATATGTTTTGAATTATCCAAAACTTCAGATAAAAGACCCATGTGATCCACATGAAGAATACGGAACAACTATGGGTGGGCGTAATTTGCATCTCATTTTCTTTGGCATTTGTTGAGTTATTCGCAATGACACGTTTAATAATTACTAATGTATTGTTTTACTCTCTTACACATCGAAGCGAATCAATAGTTTAAACTAAGTCCCTCATAAGTTTTCTCGCTTCCGTGATCTAATTCATTATGATATGTTCGTAATAATTGTTGTATCATACTCTCGGATACAACGAATCTAGCGCGGTATCGATCTATTCAATATAACAAACTGTCGATTAATTTGAATTTATCATCTTCGGAATGTTCTAGCTTTTGAGCAATTTTACGCAAATAGGGTCTAACTACTTATAATACAATTCCTTCGTCAAAGATATGGTATCTATCGCTGTTACGCTAATTCTGCTTAAGGCATCTACATATAGCATTTTCACATCGAAATTATAGTTTTGCATGCACAAAATCCATTTGTTGACTCGTGGATTGATGCTAGCCTTCTTTAAAACATATGCCAAGACGTTACAATCTGTGATTACTTTAAATTTTGTGCCGTATAAGTATATGTGATATCTCTTGACAGCTTTTACTAACATATCTAACTCGAACGAATGATAGCGACTTTCTACTTCGTTAGTTCGTTCACTATAATAAGATACTGGTCCGAAGACATTGGAGTTTTGTCGTTACATTAGTATTGCATCTAAGGTGTGGAGCTCGCGTCAGTGTACAGTTCGGTTTCGTGCGAAGGATCATATAATCTTAATACTGGGACGAGAGAGAATTTGAACACACTTTATTTTTATATATATAAATCGCGGGACTTATACGTTTTTTGTGGACGCAATCTCGAAAAGATTCTCTTATAATGGCGTGGCGTCCGCTTAGCGATGGCGCCCTCTTCGCAAGTACGTTTCAATCAGGAACTCGCTTTTCGGAGTTAATGGCAAGAGCAATGCCAATAACGTGCGGGAAGGACTGCGTGCACAGGTAAGGCGCTAAATACATGGCGACTGGAAATAACTAAAATGAGTATCATCAGAGAGTATTATCGCGAAACTCGTACTTATTTCTGCGCCTCTGCGCACACAACCTGTGCATAAACTTTTCTGCACTAACACTTCAACAACAAATAAATCTGTATTAGACTAAAAAATACAAAAATTAGGCATTTGTACAGTATTTTTTGGTTCATAAATAAATTATTTACAATTAAAAAGTTGGTTTACATATTTTACGGCTTTATTTTCCCAATAAAATACATTTATACAAATACATAAGTTTAAAAATGACCGCGTTTTACATCAAAATGGAGGTAAGTTTGCGGTACTTTATAATTCTAGTGATTTTATTAGATGTGGACTTGCTGTACAATAACTAGACTTTTCAGCTTTTAGATATAATAAGGATTTTATTTAAGGATTTTCAACAAGGTGTATGTATTCTGCGCAAATTACAGATAAAAATATAGTTTTAAGAATCCTTATAATATTATCATGTTCTTATCACTTAAATTGTTATAGAAAAAAATAAATACTTTTACTTCAAAAATCAATTTTATTGAAAATTATTTAAATTTTTTGTTACTATGATTACTTTTTACGTTTCGATTTTTTGATGGCTTCGTTCCTCATGGAACAATTTTTCGTAAAATGAACTGTTATTCTAATCTCAAATGGTCTTTTAATTTAAAAGATTCTTTTATTATCTTCTGTTATAATAAAAAATATATTAAAATTTTATTTTCTTACGGATTCTTCTGTTATATAGTAATTATCTTTTTTCATAAAATATTTAAAATAAATTTTCTGATTTTTCATAATTTTGAAAATATTGGTATTCCATGGGAAATCCAGCCATAAAAAAATAATATAACATACTTTTTCTTTATACAAATGACGGAATAGCAGGTGACATAATATGCATACCTCCATCCACAGATAATGTCACTCCTGTTATGAAACTAGCATCGTCACTGGCTAAAAATGCAATGGTTTTTGCGATTTCTAAAGCATCGCCATTTCTTCCTAAAGCATGCCATTCTTTTAACTTCTCGAAAAAGATTTTAAGCTGTTCTTGGTTCATTTCACAGTTCCGAAAGATATGTGTTTTTACAACGCCAGGATTTACGGCATTCACACGCACCTATCATATTTTAAGAAAATAATTTATGACGCAAAATAATATTTATAATGTTATTGTTGAAAAAAGAAAACAGCCATTATCCTTACCTGTCGTAATCCCAGTTCTAAAGCAACGCAACGCGTAAAGTGATCCAAAGCCGCCTTACTCATGCAATATATCAGGCTATTCCTCAATGGTAGTAATCCAACTACGCTTGAAATATTTACAATGTTGCCTTTCGTTTTGATTAAATGTGGTACTGCCAACACAGTCAATTGGAATATTGACCGAACGTTTACGTTGAAAATACTAATATTTACAACAAAAACACGTTTTCGTTATATCAATATATTTTAAAAATAAAACACAATTCATCAATATCCATGCATGTTTATACTCGTACATATTATCAACTTATCATTACATACTTGTTATACTGTTCCAAACTTGCAGTCTCTATACCACCTAATTCAAAAATTCCAGCATTATTAACTAAAACATCTAATTTTCCATAATGCTTGATTGTCAAGTCGATAATATTTTTCACATCATTCTCATTAGTTAGATCTCCTATTATGACAAACGGCTTGGGTTGTCCACATTGTTCAGCTACCTTGTCTAAACTATGCTTATTACGTCCTGTTATCGACAGTGATGCACCAAGCTGAGCCAGATGAATAGCTGTTTCAGCTCCAATTCCTGAACTGGCCCCTGTTATAAGGACAACTTTTTTCAAGAAAGACATCTAAAATAAACAATGTTTTTTGCACTGAGTACATTCAATAGCATAACTAATCACATTAAATTACTATATACCCAATAATAAATAAATAAATAAAATTTATTATATTACGATGTTATTTATACGATATTCAATAGTGTAACACGTTTTCAAATATGTTGAATACATCATTTTAAATATACTTTGACATTGATTTGAAGGTTTCTATAACATTGATATGTTATCATGAAACAATGTAAATAATATTGCAGCGAAATATTCAATGTTTATTGAATTAATATCTTACAGACGTTGCAATTTAATATTCGAGAATATTAATATTAATTTAACATTTTTTCAATATCATATAAACTTCCAAAAATATTAGGTTTCTAAATTAATTTTCACAAAATGTATTGTATGATTTTTTTCAAAGTTTATTTCATTTGCTTTCATCGCAGAACATACACTAGGGCTTTCATCTTGAAACCCTTCGGTTATCTTCTAAAAATCATTTCACTAAATACAGATGAAGATTCTCATAATATTGCGTCTTTTATTCAATTTTATGTCATTATTAAACACGAAAAAATTACTCCGCCATGTTCTTCTATAAGCGATATTGTACTGTTTCTAATTAAGCAATTTTAATATTAATTTGTTTAATATTGTTTCATATATCTATTGTATAAATTACACCTAATGATCATGAGAAATAAGGAAATACAGATACTTTGGCAACGTGCACTAGAATCAATTTTAAGAAAACATTATTTTCTATGCTCTTTCTAAAGAGAAAAATTTATTCAATATTTATGGATATTATAGACGATCAACTAATGCAATCTTAGCTAAATCGGTAAATATGTATTTTAGGTTACACCTTACCAATTTCAATATCCTTTAAATATATTGTAGTAGAGAGTGCTCTCCCCTACAGCACGAAATTGCAGCAATATTTCAATAATGCGTAATATTGTAATTATAATATTTTACTGAAAATATTGCAACAATATTGCAAAATATTATAATTTTAATATTTTGTAGAAAATATTGTAATATATTATTACAATATTATAATACAATTCACTAAATAAGTATTCGGCTCTACCATTAGAAGAATAAGCTTCTTGTAAGAAGAAAACGTCTAGGGGTCCTAAGGAATACGCAAATCTAATTAGTGAGTCTCCTTAACTTTTTTGAGGCGTGTTCGGATTCCCACCTGATGTTTAATTCTCCGGATGATTTCTTTGGTAAATAACAAGAATGGAGTGATATCTGGATGGCACTCCGGATGAGAATCGAAACATCTTGAATGTGCTTTCTAGGCTCCCGAATATTTTTTTATCATAACTTTATCGTATGTATTTTGGAGTATGATGCTAATAATATGTTAGCAATTAATAGAACTAGAGTAATTATTGAAATATTGCATAATATTATAGGAATATTTTATTTTTTACAGATATAGAGATATTACAATCTTTCAAAATAATATTGCTGCAATATTTCGTGTTGTAGGGGCTGAGTAATTTCCCACAAGAATTAAATGGAGAATGGCATTGGTTTAAATATATATACTATAATAAATATATATACTATATATATATATACT